TCTCTGACAGACCAGGCTAAATACCTCACCAAACTACAAATCCCAGGAATCTACAGGATGTAGAGTCATGACAAAATGGCATCAAACTGCTTTAATTCTGCAGCATGGCTACACCCCAAATGAGTTTCTGCTTTGCCACGGTTGCTTTGGTACCATTTTTTCCTCCATCTCTGCTTGGTTTCACACAAAGAGCCCATCATAAGCTCAGTAGTGAACTACTGAACTTGATTTTCTGGGAGACCCAAGATATAGCTACCCAATTTGGCTTCTTATCAACATGTTTTTTGCAATCCAGTGCCTAAAATCAACTCCAGCCCTGACAATGCAAAGACATCTGGAGGAATTTGCTGCTCTCTTCCTACAAAGTGGCCTGTGAAGTTCACACAGAACAGGAACAGGTTTGCATTTTGGGGCAACACAGTGGTTTTGTTTTCTACCATCCGCCAAGATCTTACATCATGGTTGCGTAGTGTAAATACACTACTGATCTACTGACTGTAAGCCCACACACCCCCACACACCCACTATCTATTCTACAAACTATTTGAAAGACCGTTATTCTTATTGCATGAGAAGAGAAAGCCAAAATGGAGCAGTAGACTAATAGCTTTCTCCATGCCACTCCACATGTTGTCCTAGCACTTCCATTCTCTTCCCAAGAGAGACGATCATAAAAGCATGCCTTTTGTTGAACAGATTTTTCCAGTGTGACAAAAAACACATTTTTACAACCATCTCCCTCTGGAAGAGAATGGAAGTGCTACGACATCATGCGGAGAGGCACAGAGAAAGTTGCTACTCTACCACTCCATTTTGGCTTTCTTTTCTCATGCAATAAGGCTTCGTATCTCCTGATATGAACCTGCCAGAAGCCTAAGATTTTCAGGGGGAGGCTTGCTCTCAGTCTCGCTACCATCACAGGCTTGGTTGATGAAGACACAAGACAAGCCTTCTTGGTAGTTGCTCCTACCCTTTGGAACTCCCTTCCACTGGAGGCTAGTCTGGCCCTCTCCTTGCTCTCCTTTTGCCAGGAGGCAAAAGCTTTCCTTTGCAAGAAGACTTTTAATACTTCACTGTGCCTAGCAAAGCTTTATTTAAAGTATTTATACCCCGCTGTTGAGCCACAAAGACTTTTTATTGGGATGTTTGCATTGGGACATTTTTAATGGTTTTATCTTTTTAGCTTGGTACTTTTAAGGAATTTACATTTTGGACCGTTAGTTTAATGTGGTGTTTTAATTGTGTTTTAAAATGTTGCTGTTTGTAAGTATTTTTAATAATTTTTTATTAATTAATATAAAAAATACAGACAACAAAAAGCAAACATAACCTTTCATAAATCCATTCCAAATATCTAATCTATTTATACATACAAACATTATGATTTCCAACACTTAATCCCATTCATCCTGACTTCCCAAGCTAGAAGAACTCCATGTTACCATTGCCATTACATATCTTTTTTTAGCTGTTCTTATCTCATCAACTATAATAACTATATTAATTCTACTGTCACCGAGGATTATCACATAGAATCTAAATTATCCATAAAATTCAAAAATAGAATTGTAAAGTTGTTCAATAATCCTATCCATATATTACATTCATCAATTATATACTTTATTGTCTGTTCCCAACCCTTTATATATTTCTTCAACTTCTCACTTCTCATGAGACATGTTAATTTATCCATTTATGCTATGTCTAATAACTTTACTAACCATTCTTCCAATGTTCGTACTTCATAGTTTTTCCATATTTGAGCTAATAACAGCCTGGCTGCTGCTGTCATATAGTAGAATCATAAAATCATAGAGTTGGAAGAGACCACAAGGGCCAT